ATTTATCCAACCATCTATCCAGAGCCTCTGGTTTATAGACTGGGTGAGGAGGTGAGAAGTATTCTGGGAGGTCACATGACATTAGTGTTGTTCTTTCAATGCAGAGTTTTCCTCTGGTGAAGTCTTGAGGCCATTTCACTATTACAGTGCATTTACCTAGTTTCCGGAACCCTGAGAATATCAATGACAAGAAGATTCCAAAAGACTCCAACAAAATCTGTGTACTGCTGACAGGAGAGGTGAGCGGTGCCAGGAATTCTGGGACATTCTCCAGTAACAGACAAGGGATGTGTCTGGATGGTGACTGTATCATTGTGTGTGTCAGGTTCCTATAAGGTGTCAGGATGTCACTGTCTATTTCTCCATGGAGGAGTGGGAGTATTTAGAAGGACACAAGGACCTCTACAAGGACGTCATGATGGACAATCAGCCACCCCTCACATCACCGGGTAAGAGGAGACTTTATTGGAAAGGAGAGAGCAGTACGGAGGGTCCACCTAGATCCCCCATCATCTGATAAACACATAGAAACAATGGATTCAGTCAGTGTGTGTGTTTCCTACAGATGGATCCAGTCATGAGAACCCACCAGAGAGATGTCCCCGTCCTCTGTATTCCCGGGATTCCACACAGGAAGGTCACACCATCCCTCACCATCATCAGGTAGATGGGACTGAGGATCTAGATCTCAAATACATTGTAGAATTCTATGCTGTGAGATAATATTCTTCTATGTCATCTCTTGCGCCATTTTATAAATCCATTCTATTCATTTTATCATATATGCGCTCTAGGGTGAAAAACTGAAAGTTGAGGTTAAAGTGGAAAAAGAGATGTTTGGAGATCAGCAGTCTATGGAGGAGGGTGGTCCTCTGTATTCCCAGGATTCCACACTGAAAGGTCACACCATCCCTCACCATCATCAGGTAGACGGATCCAGTAATGGGAACCCACCAGAGAGATGCCCCCGTCCTCTGTATTCCCAGGATTCCACACAGGAAGGTCACACCATCCCTCACCATCATCAGGTAGGTTGGACTGAGCAATTAGAACTCAAATGTATTCTAAGCTATGAGATAATACATTTCTATGTAATCTCTTGCGCCATTTTATAAATATATTTTATCATCCTTGGAATTTAGGGTGAGAGATGTTTCTGGGATTCCATACAGGAGGATCACACCATCCCTCACAAAGATCAGGTAGGTGGGACTGGGCATAAGGACCTAAATATGTATTCTAAGCTATGAGATTACATCCTTTTATGTAGTTTCAATGCTTACCTCTACATCTGACGTTTCTAGCTCTTGAACACCCTACATTTTTCACACCCCATTTTTGTTTTTTTATCAATATATATTCATTTCCTCTGTGGCTCCTCTTCCTCTTTGTGTTTTTCCACCAAAAGGAGTGCATAGTGAATAACGTTGTATAGTTCCTAGCTCCCGTAAGTCCAGGCCGACATGATGATTTGCCAGTAGGGGATGGGTCATTGGCTTCCTCAGTACACAGGAAATGGGCAGTAGACCTGATTTAGCTCTGCTTTAGGTCAGTAACACCTGCCGGTTTTGCCCCACCCCCAGCCTGTGACTGGACAGTGAAAAGAGAAGCAGTAGACTGATGAGCTCATCTCTCTGTCACTCTGCTCTCTCCTCCTATCAGCATGTTCCTTGTTAGAACTGCAGCAAAGCTGATTGGCTCACTGTTCTGCTCCTCCCTCTCCCAGTCTGAGCTCTTATGTACAGGTACTGCAAGAGCCTGATGCCAGGTCACATTTAGGTACTTACACTGCTTACAGTTATCTAAAAAGACATGATGTAGTAGGGAATGTAGAGCTGCTGCCATTTATGTCTTCATTTATCTGCCTTGAGCTCACTTTATTAGATGTTTTCTATTATTTTGGGGTTTAGGGTGAAGAACGGATTAATATAAAATCTGAGGTTAAAAAGGAAGAAGAGGAGACGTATGTGGAAGGTGGTCAGCCATACACGAAGGCGGTCGGGATGGTTATGAAGAGTGAACAGGAAGAAATGTCTCTACCTATCCACACAGGTAAGTACAGGCACTATGGAAGAAACAGGTCACAATCTCATTTTACTTCTGAGTAGAAGCTTAAGTAAAAATGTTTGATAATTTTCAGATCTTCACATCGTCCTGGAGGAAGGTGCTAAAAGGATTAAATATATGTTTGCCTAATAAAGGGCTAATGTGTGGTGTTTCAAGAGGTAACACTTAGTGCTGTGATGTACCTTCCCCCACAAGTGTCACTTCCTGCTCCTGATGGGATATATGTAGGAGGAGCCTGGACCTCCTGATCTATCAAAGTTTCCCCTTAGCTGGACTCCAGGATGGGTTCTGAGGCTCAGACATTTGATGCTATTTACTGGGATGCCGCTTGAGCTATAAAAAGGTATGAAGAGTGCCACCCAGCACAGCCAAATCCAGTACAACGATTAGAGAGAGAGTGGAAAATGCAATCACATTTTCTGTATCTTGCCCAAAATGTCCTTCTATAGAGTCTGTACAGAACTGTAACTATAACTTTATTCAGTAAATAACGTGGTTAAGAATCTGAAGCCGCTCCTTACCCTTTACATGTTATTTTATTTGAGGTGCTGAGGATTGCCTTTTATGCTAGCAGCTCTCTCTATGTTTTTGCGCTCACTTACCTTTATTTTAACTTATATTTCCACCACCATGTTTCACAGTTGGGATGGTGTTCTTGGGGTCATAGGCAGCATTCCTCCTCCTCCAAACATGGCGAGTTGAGTTGATGCCAAAGAGCTGGATTTTGGTCTAATCTGACCACACAACACTTTCCACCAGTCCTCCTCTGCATCATTCAGATGTTCAGTGGCAAACTTCAGATGGGCCTGGACATGTGCTTTCTTGAGCAGAGGGACCTTGCAGGCACTGCAGGATTTCAGTTCTTGTTGGCGTAGTGTGCTACCAATTGTTTTCTTGGTGACTGTGGTCCCAGCTGCCTGGAGATCATTGACAAGATCCTCACGTGTAGTTCTGGGATGATTCCTCACTGTTCTCATGATCATTGACACCTTACGAGGTGAGATCTTGCATGGTACACCAGACCTAGGGAGACTGACACTTGTTTTGTGTTTCTTCCATTTGTGAATGATTGCACCAACTGTTGTCACCTTCTCACCAAGCTGCTTGGCCATAGTTTGGTAGCCCAGTCCAGCCTTGTGTAGGTCTACATCGTGGAGAGTTTGGAATCTGATGGTTTGATTGCTCCTGTGGACAGGTGTCTTTTATACAGGTAACAAAATGAGATTAGCAGCACTCCCTTTAAGAGACTGCTTCTAATCTCAGCTTGTTACCTGTATGAAAGACACCTGGTAGCCAGAAATCCTGCTGAATGATAGGTGATCAAATCCTTATTTCCCTCATGAACATGCAGATCAGTCATCATTTGTTGTTGCTATTCTGTCTCTCAGTATTACAATACACCAAACATTAGATTTTTAGACCGATCATTTCTTTGTGAGTGGGCGAACATTCAACATCAGCCGGGGAGCAAGTATGCATTTCCTTCACTGTATGTATATATAATATCTCTCTATCTATATAGCTAGAGGAGGGGGGGGTCCGGTATTGAGGTGGCTTATGTCATTGGTAGAAAGGGGCTGACGTTGGAGTCCATATATAATAAAGATTCCGTCATAGTTATCCATTAGAATCTGCAGATCATATGTGGACTCTGTGTGAACACTTTTCTGATCAATTTTGGAGGGACAACAGGAGCCCAGCTGTGAGATCGACATTTCCACATATTCCACTGACAGGTGGGGGGGTGAATTCTGAATGAATGTGAATTCTGACATTTCTTCCATTCCTCTCCATCAGATGGCGCTGATGTCAGGAATTCCTCGGAGAGACGTCTTCTATTATCTGCTGATTGGAAGTCACAAGATAATGCCATCACACAGGATTCTCCAGGAGTGAATCCAAATACACCCAATATCCATCACAGACCTTCCTGTCCGAAGACATCAATGGATCCCTCTGATCAGGGGGAATCTTCTGACCAATCACATACTAGGAGTGCAAATGTCCATTTAGGATCCCACACTGCAGATAGTTCAACAGATCCATCTAATCCCAAGGAATCTTCCGCACCCCATGAAGGAGCTCACCAAGGAGACAATCTATTCTCGTGTTCGGAGTGCGGGAAATGTTTCACTAAGAAAGGAAATTTAATTCAGCACCAGAAAATTCACACGGGTGAGCGCCCCTATTCTTGTTCAGAGTGCGGGAAATCTTTTATTCAAAGAAGAGACCCTTGTTAAACATCAGAGAATTCACACGGGGTGAGCGTCCTTATTCTTGTTCAGAGTGCGGGAAATCTTTTATTCAGAAAGGAGGTCTTGTTAGACATCAGACAGTTCACACAGGTGAGCGTCCTTATTCATGTTTGCAGTGCGGAAAATCTTTCACTCACAAAGGAAACCTTGTACAGCATCAAAAATGTCACATGAGTGAGCGTCTTTATTCATGTTCAGAGTGCGGAAAGTCTTTCACTCAAAGAAGAGACCTTTGTGAACACCTGAGAATTCACACGGGTGACCTTCCTTATTCATGTTCAGAGTGCGGGAAATCTTTCACTCATAAAGGAAACCTTGGTAAACATCAGAAAATTCATACAGGTGAACGTCCATATTCATGTTCAGAGTGCGGGAAATGTTTCTCTTATAAAGGAGAACTTGTTCTGCACCAGAGAATCCACACGGGTAAATGTCCTTATACTTGTTCAGAGTGCGGGAAATCCTTCACTCAAAAAGGAGAGATGGTGTAAACATCAGAGAGTACACACAGGGGAGCGTCCTTATCCATGTTCAGAGTGTGGGAAATGTTTTATTCGGAAAGAAGGCCTTGTTCGACATCAGAGAGTTCACACAGGTGAGCGTCCTTATTCATGTTTGGAGTGCGGGAAATCTTTCACTCAGAAAGGAAACCTTGTACAGCATCAAAGAATTCACATGGTGAGCGTCCGTATTCATGTTCAGAGTGTGGGAAATCTTTCACTCAAAGAAGAGACCTTGTTGAACACCAGAGAATTCACACGGGTGAGCTTCCATATTCATGTTCGGAGTGTGGGAAATCTTTCACTCATAAAGGAAAACTTGCTAAACATCAGAAAATTCATACGGGTGTGCGTTCTTATACGTGTTCAGTGTGCGGGAAATGTTTCTCTTATAAAGGAGACCTTGTTCTGCATCAGAGAATCCACACGGGTAAACGTCCTTATACTTGTTCAGAGTGCGGGAAATCTTTCACTCAAAAAGGAGTCCTTGTTAAACATCAGAAAATTCACACAGGTGATCGTCCTTATCCATGTTCAGAGTGCGGGAAATCTTTTATTTGTAAAGCAGAACTTGTTAAACACCAGAGAATTCACACGGGTGAGCGTCCTTATCCATGTTCAGAGTGTGGGAAATCTTACATTTGTAAAGGAGACCTTGTCCAACATCAGAGAATTCACACAGGTGAGAATCCTTATTCATGTTCAGAGTGCGGGAAATCTTTCACTCATAAAGGAGTTCTTGTTATACATCAGAGAGTTCACACAGGTGAGCGTCCTTATGCATGTTCAGAGTGCGGGAAACCCTTCTCTGATAAAGGAGGCCTTCTTAAACATCAAAGAATTCACACAGGTGAACGTCCTTATTCATGTTCAGAGTGCAGGAAATCCTTCACTGATAAAGGAGACCTTCTTAAACATCAAAGAATTCACACAGGTGAGCGTCCTTTTTTATGTTCAGAGTGTGGGAAATCCTTCACTGATAAAGGAGGCCTTGTTAAACATCAAAGAATTCACACAGGTGAACGTCCTTATTCATGTTCAGATTGTGGGAAATCCTTCACTGATAAAGGAGACCTTCTTAAACATCAAATAATTCACACAGGTGAGCGTCCTTTTTTATGTTCAGAGTGCGGGAAATCTTTCACTAGAAAAGGAAACCTAGTGCAACACTACAGAATTCACATGCGTGAGCGTCCATATATATGTTCTTAGTGTGGGAAATCTTCCTATACAAAGGGTAATCTTGGTAAACACCAGAAAGTCCAGTGTAATGTGGATGGTGGGGGGAGGAGAGCTGCTGGAGAATGTAGTGTGGATGGTGGGGGGAGTTGAGCTGCCGGAGAATGTAGTGTGGATGGTGGAGGGAGGAGAGCTGCCGGAGAATGTAGTGTGGATGGTAGGGGGAGGAGAGCTGTCAGAGAATGTAGTGTGGATGGTTGGAGTTGGAGAGCTGTCGGAGAATGTAGTGTGGATGGTGGGGGGGGAGGAGAGCTGTCAGAGAATGTAGTGTGGATGGGGGGGGGGGGGGGGGGGGGGGGGGGGGAAAGCTGTAGGAGAATGTAGTGTGGATGGTGGGGGAGCTGTAGGAGAATGTAGTGTGGATGGTGGGGGGGGGGAGAGCTGTAGGAGAATGTAGTGTGGGATGGTGGGAGGAGAGCTGTCAGAGAATGTATTGTGGGTGGCAAAGCAGGGTGAAAAAACTGCCAGATCTCTTAGTAAAAGCAGCACATATTACACTTGGTAGGCACACACTTAACCCCTTGATGGTCACTTCTACCAAGCCAGTGTCAGTAGCACTACATATATAGACATATATGGTCACTGTAGTTTCACTAGTGTCAGTTTCAGTTATTGTACCTCCCATTGAGGGTCTGAAGTGAAGTTACTGTACTCCTCCTACTTTTAGTACCACTCTGTATTGTGTACAAAATGTAGCACAATTTATTAGCCCGGAGTGCACTAATACACAACCCCACATTCCACAGATGAGGCAGTAACAATGTCATAGACAACAGCCAACCACGGCACAGTGGCTGGAGAGTATAAAAGCAAATTGATTTGGGCCTTTGGCAGCAATCTAAGCAGGAGGGAGTGTTCAATTTTTTAGATTCTGAAATAATAAGCAGTCAGTGTTTTTTCAAAGACAGCAGCCATTAATATTGTGTAGACCCGCTGCCTATTCTGCAGGCAATTTGTACTTAGTCACTATAAGACATGTTATTCTGAAACAAAAAAAAATCTGTTTTTAATATCAGAGTCAAGAGCCAGAAATATTTCACAGACTTGCTGCACGCCATGTAAGTGATGTTTAAATTCTGTATAAAATCGTATTCTATTTTGTATGCTTTGCCTTTGTATTGTACGCTGCACTTTTTGTACACACGGCACTAATAATATTTTGATTACGTTTGCATTCCTTCAAGTCCCGGTTGGAAATTAGCCTGTCTACGTAACGCCCCTTGTTATCACAAAAGTACCATTGTAATATTAATGTGATACCTGTGTATTAAAAAAAAAAATGTCAAATGCGTCGAATAAACTTGTGATTTGGAAAGATGCTGAGTGTGTCTTTTTGTGTCTGTTCCCTATTGCAGTAGTTATTAATTTGGACAATTGAATCAAAAGCTGTTTCCTGGCCAGATGTGGGCTACTCCTTCGTTATTTTTTCATCAATTAAGCAGGTAAAAGGTCTGGAGTTGATTCTAAGTGTGGGATTTGCATTTGGAATCTATTGCTGTGAACCTACATCATGCATTCAAAGGAGCTGTCCGTGCAAATGAAACAGGCCATTGAAAGGATTCAAAGGTGAAACAAGTCCATCAAAGAGATCACAGCGACATTAGGAGCTGCCAAATCAACAGTTTGGTCTATTATGAGGAAAGGAAAAACGCACTGGTAAGCTCAGCAACATAAAAAGGCATGGATGTCCACAGAAGACAACAGTGGTGGATGATCGCAGGATCCTCTATGGCAGTGATGGCGAACCTTTTTGAGCCCGAGTGCCCAAACTGCAACCCAAAACCAACTTATTTCTTTCAAAGTGCCAACACTGCAATGAAACCTGAATATCGAGCTTTTGGTTTAGAAAAAACAACTCGTACAGTAGTGCAAACTAATTAACAGTACAGGGATGACCAGAGACTGCGGACACAGTACAGGGATGACCAGAGACTGCGGACACAGTACAGGGATGACCAGAGACTGCGGACACAGTACAGGGATGACCAGAGACTGCGGACACAGTACAGGGATGACCAGAACTGCGGACAGTACAGGGATGACCAGAACTGCGGACAGTACAGGGATGACCAGAGACTGCGGACACAGTACAGGGATGACCAGAGACTGCGGACACAGTACAGGGATGACCAGAGACTGCGGACACAGCACAGGGATGACCAGAGACTGCGGACACAGCACAGGAGATGACCAGAGACTGGGGACACAGCACAGGAGATGACCAGAGACTGGGGACACAGCACAGGAGATGACCAGAGACTGGGGGACACACAGCACAGGGATGACCAGAGACTGGGGACACAGCACAGGGATGACTGCTGACCTTTGGGGAGGGAGGGGGAGCGGGTACCTGAATTTGACAGGTACCCGCTCTTACTTCCGCAGAGTTTTTTTTTTTTATCTTACCTGTTCCTCGATCCAGCCGCGCGCTGTCTTCCCGGCTTCTGTAGTGTGGGCGCTCGTCGGACAGCCGGATGCCCAGTGCGCATGCGCGAGAAGCGCTGCACTTTGTGATTGGTCCGGCGGCTTCTGGGATCTGTCATGTGTCCCAGGTACCGCCTTACCATTCACAAGGAGCACTGCTTCTTGTGCATGCGCACTTGGGACCCGGCTGTCACGCACACTACAGCCGGGAAGACAGCGCGCCGCTGGATTCTCCTGGCGTGCCCACAGATAAGGCTTGGCGTGCCGGCTGTGGCACGCGTGCCACGGGTTCGCCACCACTGCTCTATGGTAAAGAAAAACCCATTCACAGCATCCAGACAAGTGAATGACGCTCTCCAGGAGGTGGGCTTATCATTGTCAGAGTCTACAATCAAGAGAAGACTTCACGAGAGCAAATACAGAAGGTTCACCACAAGGTGCAAACCATTCATGAGCCTGAAGAATAGAAAAGCCAGATTAGATTTTGCCAAAAAACATCTAAAAAAGCCGGACCAGTTCTGGAAAAGCATTCTTTGGACGGATGAAACTAAGATGAATCTGTACATAATGACGGGAAGAAAAAAGTGTGGAGAAGGCTTGGAACAGCTCATGATTTACATAACCGATCTTATCTCTAAATATCACCCAAATGTACACTCCGCTCCTTGCAAGACCCCTTACTCTCTAGCTCCCTTATCTCATCCTTCCATGCTCATCTCCCAAGACTTCTCCAGGGCGTCACCCATCCTCTGGAACTTCCTACCCCAATCTATCAGACTATCACCTACTCTACTTGCCTTTAGGCAATCACTGAAAACCTCTCTCTTCAGGGAAGCCTATCCCGTCCTCTGCTAATTCTGGAATCCTCTACTCTTCCAACCACTCCATCCCCCACAGTGACTACCTACTGTACCATACACCCTTCCCTCCTAGATTGTAAGCTCCCAGGATCAGGGCCCTCAAATCCCTCTTGTATTGAACTGTATTGTTACTGTATTGTCTCCCACTATAATGTAAAGCGCTGAGCAAACTGTTGGCGTTATATAAATCCTGTATAATAATAATAATAATAATAATGATCCAAAGCACCAGGACTTAAGTTTTTTTTCACTTTTCAACCCTTTTTGTTTTTCCTGTTGCATTATTTTATTAATACAAGTACTTATATAGCGCCTGCTGTGGCTCACTTGCTCTGTGGGCTGCAGTACCAGCTCCTACCAGAGGGTGCTTTCAGCAGCCAGGGTCTCACTCCTGCAATCAAGCTATTACCTGAGGCTGATTGCAGGAGGTGTATTTAAGCAGGACCAGGCCTGCAATCAATGCCTTGGTGTTGTTCCCCCTGAGCCCTTGTGCCTGATATTCCTGCCTGATCCTGACTCTGCCAGAACTCTGCCTGCACCGACCCCGGCTATTCCTGACCTTTCTCCTGCCTGCTCCTTTGTACCTTGTCTACCCGATAGTTACCGACCCGGCCTGCCTGACTACGCTTGTGTTCCCACACATATTGAGACTTGTTTAAGGTTTGATTTTGCACCGTATGTTCTGTGTATTGTGTAACCTTAAATAAATTATATTACTTTTACACCATACTTGAAGCCTGCGTTTCCCTGTGTCAATCCACACATCTCTGGTCATACCTGGATCCCTGACATAACACCAAGGCCAATCCTTGCCAGAAGTGGCTGCACAGGGAAGACATCTTGGCTTGTTGTTGGGGAAGGATGCATCTGGGGGAAGTTGTGTACTTGTCTCTGCTAGCAATAGAAGACAGAGCGTACTGTTGTCAGATTCTGAATAAGCATGCCAGGGATCAGCTGCTAGAGTGCATGCAAGTTGCTCATTCACTAGTAGATCAGGGCACGGAGTTTTCTGAGGTGCAGCCATTGATCCAGGCTTGTGCTGAGTTGGCTTTATCTAGCACCCCTGAAAGCAGGGATTACTTTTTTTCTGCCATTTAGTGCAGACCAAGTAGAGTCATTGGTATGGTTGTTGGAGGATGATCCAGATTGCTTCCTTGACATGTGATTGTGGATTGTATAAACGCAGTGCAGTCTTTGGTCAGACAGGCTATGTGTAAGCTGAGCTTTGTTCAACCGGTATTACAGACATGGTCAGATTTGTTACACCCAGCCTCAGTCAGCTTGCAAAAACCCAGTCCTGCTTCTAATCCATTTTTTCAAAACTCTATTCCTGCATTCCCAACAGCACCCCCAGTTCCAGCCCAGTATAACCTGCTATCAACCACATGTCCGTACCCTGTTCCCACACGCTGCACCTATCCTACCTTTAACCCTGTAAAAAAGCCCTCTGTAGCAACTGTTCCCTCCTCTGTTCCATCCTCCAGCTCTTCTCTGTCTTCAGCTGCTCCCTCCATTTACAGACCTGCATTTACTTACAGTGCTTCAGTAACTAAACCCAAGAAGAAGCAAAAATTGTTTC